GGACACCACAGCCGTGTCTGCCGGGAGGTGACCCCCACTCTGTCACCCCAGGGGTCCTCCGGCACCGGGAGGAAACCCGCCGGCTGGGCAGTGGAATTATGGGTCACCTAGACACTGTGTTATGCGGCACTTACTTTACCTCCTTGACCGACTTAGAGAAGGCACTTCAAATCAAATATGCCTGTTCAGAAATTGTGGCATGTCAAATTACTTGAATTGGTTGTGTGAAGGATTTTAGATGTATCCCTGAATCTCTAGGAAGGTACATCGTTTCTGAATGAGGCCAAGGAAATGTGAGCACTGTGTAGCTGTATGAAAGATGAAGTAGAAAGTGCAAAATACAACCTCTTAATTATACACTGAAATGGTATCTTCTTAGAATCAGAAATCCTTTTTTAAGTTATTCCATTTTGAGCCTGAGGCTGCAGCTCTCTGGCCAGACATGATTTCCTGGACAGAGCCATTTCCTGTTATTCAAAGTGAGCTCATTCACTTAATCTGATAAAGTTAATATGTTTTTGAATAAGTTTCTCTACTGCAAGGGTCAGGAATGCTTGACATATGCTAAAGGCTGGTTTCAAGATCCCTTGACATGGTATGTGCATCCCAAGTGCTATGTCGTTCATCAACTGATTTCATTTACAGATCACTGAATACAGCATGATATGGCAATTGGGATTAGGGGCCAAAACAGAGAAGACAGGAACTGCCAGCAAAGGAGGGGGTAATACATAACATAGTAAATAAAGATTCAATAACAGCCAACTAGACAGTGGCAAAAGGGAAATGTGACAGAATCACAACCAGCCGGATCCCCAGTCTGCTGGAAGCACTGAGTTTGGAAAAAGGTAAAACGCTGTTTCTTTTAATACCCTGTGCATTGCTGTGGTCGATGAACACAATGGTACTGGTATTTATGGAGAGAATTGCTCAAACTCTTTGTGTTACCAAGAGGAAAAGAAGAGAAAACAAACTAGGAAAAGAAATGGAGGGGAAAGTAAGTAGTGTAAAAGGTGAGGGCCACATGAGTAGAGGGAAAAATAGATTCCCTACTGAATTTATCACGGAGCTTGGGGAAGGGTTCATTTTAATTTAAAAAGTATTCAGCAACAAAGCATAGAACAAGAGAAGACAGAATTTAAAGTCCACTGCATTTAGACTTCCAGCACTTCCTCAGTATTCAGGATACAGTTTTGCTTCCAAATGCTCTCTGCTTCAGCAAAGCAGCAGCTTTACTTGTCAGTCAGGAAAGCAGGCCATGAAATCAAATGACAGTAAGTACACCGTGCTTAAAATAGAATGCCTTTTGCTCCAGAATCTCAAAATGCAACAAAAGACAGTCATGAAGTAAGTCCCCCTTTACAATGCTCTATAAAAGGCAGCAATATTATACTTTTTTTTTCCTTCTCTAAAAGGAAGTACAGGAAGCTTGAAACATTTTTTACAAAAAGAATATTTTTTAAAATTTCTGACTCTCAGTGAAGACCTCCTTATAAACAGCATATCCCAATTTAAGCACCCTCTAAAAGATTTGCATGTGTTTTTCCTCCTCCCCCTTCTGTATTTTTGAGGTTGTTTTCAGTGAGGGAAAAATGGGCTGGCACTGGCCAGTGCAAATGGGTAACTACAATGCCTGTGTCGTGCTCCACATACAGCAATTTGAGAATGGGTCTGTATTTATACAACAGTAACATTTATATGCCAAATGCCTTCCATGGGCAAGGAGAGCAAGCCAAGAGAAGACAAAATATTTTCCTCTGGCTTCCTTAAAAATAAAACCCTTTTTTAAATTAAGTTTGATTCTTCTTTGTGTGTGCATCTGTGTGTGTACATGTTTGGGTCTGCCTTCTTATTCCAAGTAATAACTTTCCTTGACCTGTGTAAGTCAAACTGAACAGCAAGGCAAAGCTTTCCAAAATACTAAATTCCTACCAGATATGTGAAAGCGTGTAGAAAAGAAAAACCTTATTAAAGGTGCTACTGAGCTATAATGTCAGCAAGTACTAGTTGATGGAGAGTGTACATAGCAAACAGATAATATGAATAATGCAACTAGCTGAAGGCTTAAACTGGTTTCACGTACATCAGGGAACACAACCATAAGCCATAAAAGCGCTGCTAGTTTCACTTCTTCTGGAACTTTTGTGTTTTGCTGTTAGTGTATCTCATATGACCAGGTTTTATTTGCTGTCCTCTGCTACTCCTAGGTCTCTTTCAGGTTCACTAATTTCCTGGAAATTCCATGTGAGCTGACTTTGGAGAAATTTCTTGGGAGCATTGGGCCATATCTTCTACAGCATGATATTCTGCTGCTTCTATTGTCTCTAGGTTGTTTTGCCCGTAGTTTTTGTTGTCTTTGGTATGTCATTATTCTCCTAAGCTGGTATTAACTGCAGATTTCATTACTGTTTTCTTAACTCTGTGGTTTTGGTCACTTTATTCACATCTATCAAACACCATCCCTGGAGAATCCCATTAGGCAAATCATCGTAAATCAAAACTTTATCTTTTGTTACTCTCTAGTTAAGGTTCTACAGCCTGTTTTAGATCTGCTAGAAATCCCTTTCCTATCCCACTCCATCCTATCATTCCTCTCAAAGTAATTTTCAATTAATTTTTAATCTAGAGGCTTGACTGGTCGGCATAGTTAGTGATAGTATGAATTTATAGCACACTAATACCCACTCATCTCAATTCCACCCACGGCGTGATACCCAGTACTTCCTATTGGCATGGCGCATCTTGAGCCCAAGGGACAGCCAATGGTAAGTGCTGGGCAGTGCAAGTGGGGAGGAATTAAGGGCATCCGAATACAACGCTTACCATTCACACAGTGAAAAGCAGCTTAGTTCAGCTTGTCATTTAACACTGCTGGCATCTGGTAGAAATTAGAGTAGCTAATTCCATCGGCAGAGAGCCTACAGAAGCTGAGATTTATGCTGGCTTCCCGGTTGTTATATATGGTATATTAAGACTGAGACAGATAGGTACATAAGCTGTAAACATCATTGCATGCAAAGTGCAGATAGCTATGCGCATCCTTTTAGGCTTGCTGAAAAACACAAACTCAAAATAACTGTAGCTTTCGGTGCTGACTATAATATATCTCAACAGACTGATATTATTTTAAATGAGGGCCATATGCTTAAATGTTTAAACCTTCATGGCATATATTCAGACTGACCCTCTCCCACAGCCTTCTGTGCTTCAAAACAGAGGAAGGGAGTCCTGATGCACTGGTGAAATACAAAATAAAGAGAAATTATTAATCCTTTATGAAATTTTCTTCTTGGTAGACCTGTTGTCTTCTTTCATGTGTAGACGTGAATGAATGTGTAGGAGAGAACTGATTTTGGCAGGAGCAGGGTGAAATGCAGGTGGTGGAGTGTCCAGAATCACTCAGAATGGAGAAATGCTTTGTGGCATGCATGGCAGCACAGAAGAAATCACAAAGATAGAAAGGAGAGAAAGAAGAAAAAGGATCTCAGAGTGAGTAAGAGTTACAAAACAAAGTGAGAAAATGCATTCAGATCCCCAAAGTGAGAGAAGTAGTAATTTAACTGGAAAAACACCAGTTCTGCAGTGGCAGTTCATAGTAACATATTCTTTTATTATTGCATAACTACTGACTGCTGGGTGTTTGAAAATGCACTGACGTCCAATAACAATCCTGGTCTAAGCAGACCTTTATCTTTATAAACCATAATTGCAGATCAATCATTACTCAGTAACCACATAACCTACCCTATCTATACTACTCAGTAAGCACATAACCTGCCCTATCTATACAGCCAGAGTGAGAACTGGTAAATAAGTAACAGGGCAATAGGGAATCGACAGCCTGGCCAAATTATGTGTGACCTTGTGTCTCACATGCTTCAGAGTCTGCTGGAGACTTGCAATCATCCCCACTCCTGAAATACTTGGAGGTTAATGATGCTAGAGTTGGAAAAGTGGTGTAGCCATTTTACCTTATCTGAGGCATTTTTGCCCTGCATGGTAAACTCACTAATGATATGGTCTGAGTCCCTTTTCTGCTATGATACCTACAAGAGCTCAATGAATTGCTGAGGAAGGGGGTGGATCCAGAATGATGAAAGCTGTCATGGTTAGCGTATATAATATTTAAAATATCGAAAACATACAGATACAAAATTGCATGTATCAATAGCATTTGTCTGCACTCACATTCTGTGTCATGTATCTTAAAGGGTAAGCCCATTGAGTTAGGTGGCTGCTGATACTGTTTTCCACTCAATGTGGTGGGCTGAAGTTCCTGCTTTACAGTATGTGGAAATTTTTTAATATGGTAAGATGAGACAGAAAAAAACCTAAAAAATAGTAAACAAGAACTTGATCGATCTTAAACACTTCATATTTATTGTACATTAAATAAAACAATTTCAGTTCAGTTGAGAGACTGATGGGTTGGATTTAGGAAATCAAAACTTCTAAAGGAAGACACGTTCAGCTTAAAAGATCATTAAGTACATATGTATTAATTACGTTATAGTAAAACCATATTCTGTTAAACAATTCTCAGGTGAATAAGATACATAATCAAAGAGGTATGTATTCCAAGGGTCTTATTGCACAGCTACTGGCTAATCCATGTACTTTCAGTCTGAGAAAGATATGCTTCGTACCACCGAGTACAAACTCTGACTGCCTCCTCATGTTTGTTACACAGCTTCTCCTCTTTCCTCATTAAAAAACAGAACACAATATCAAACAGAAAATAAAGCTGAACATTACAAAACGTGTGTTGTCTTCAGTTCATTTCATTTCAACTGCAAAACAATCCATGCGTTTTCTTTCTTTTCGGTAAGAGCAGGTAGGGAAAACAAAACAACAAATAAGAAACAAAAAAAAAGAAAGAAAAAAAAGAAAAGAAAATCCCCAACTACACGTTTGTTCTGTCATTGCAAGAACTAAAATACTGTAATTCTGCTAGCAATTTTCCAGTGCAGTGGGAGGAAACACTGTGGACGGACTCTCACTTCCCCTCAGTTTTGTCTGCCTGTACTTCACGCATATATGAATCAATGATATGCGGAGGCACTCCATCCATCAATAGTCTGAAGAACGAAAGCCCACCTACAAACAAGGAATAAGACAATCGTCAGGTTGAAGGTCCTTGGAGCAACAGCTTTGTACTTTTATTTTCTGGTGTAAAGGACAAAGATTTAGTCAGTCCCTATTGCATACTTCATTTTGAGATGTGATAAAATTCATCCCTGTTCAAAAGTCCAGCATGAGAATTAACCATGATTTAATCTTTGTACTATGCAGAACTTTCCTGTCCTCTTGCACAGGGTGAATTTCATTTCTAGGATATCATATATTCAGTCATTTATCTCACCCCATGCAATAGTCTATGATAAGCTTCACCTCAAAAAACCCTCCTGGATTTCCGTCAGGCTGGGTGGAGTACAGTCAGAGATGGAAGTCAACCCAGAGGGAACAATTTAGAAAACACCTGACTATGATGAGTTGTGGTAAACGTGCAGAGACATTAAAATTATTCTAGTGTTGGGTCTTATAACAGTTTATAAGTATTTAGCAAAATATTTACCATGTTGCTTGAAAATAACAAGTGAGATGACATATGTAAAAGAATCATATAAAAAAAGCCAGAATTTTAGATATAGGTGCCTTTAGACTCCAGAGAAGGGTGGTGGAAGTTGAAACTTCCGTCAGCTGGGGAAGTCTGAAGAACAATTTTGGATTCACTTTTGAATAAAAAATAGACCACATGTAATCACCTTGGATCCAGGTGCTTACTCCCTGAAAGCTCTAGACTTTTGCCAGGGCTTGAAGCTCTTGGTATGTGATCTCAAAGCTGTGGGAGGTCCTGCAGCAGTTCATAGGGGAGACTTACTCCACACTTGTGGCCAGCATCTTCCGTAGCTGCAGCAGTGAGTGTCTATGCTCAGCAGCCCCGCTGACAAACAGGGGCCTTTTGTATTCAGCGTTTCCTCCAGCCCTGCCAAAACTTTGTTTCCTGTCTCTGTGATTTGGTTTGTGTCCATTTTCCAGTTTTATAATGGTTGGAGTCAATATTCACCGAACATATATCAAAAGTACCATTCCCAGCCTTTTAGGTCTCTGTGTTTTGTGACTGTGGCTTCACTACCGTGAGTAAAAAACTGAACCACTTTTAAATCACTGCTATAATAGAAACCTGGGCTTATAAGAAAGCCATTGGAAGTACTCAAAGTTTTCTTTGATGTTCTGGAAAAAGGGACAAGGCAAAAGATTTTTGAAGAACAGTTAATAATTTTAGCAATCCAAGACAAAATATTTCTTTCAGTGCCCAGAAAAACATGTATGTAGTGTCTAACACACCAGCCAGGGCACCCTAGATCCCACTGATGTAGAAGCAGTAGTTTAATGCAAATAATCCAAATTGGGAGTGAAATTTCATGCCATTGAAAAAAATGTCATGGAAACTAAACATGTGGGTATTTCTGTTAATGTCATTGGAATCAAATGACATTAACAGAAACAGTGGGAAAAAGATAAATATTTTGCTAAAAACAGGTGTCATTTGTTGTAAGAAAGCTACATCCCATTACTATTCCTCTTACAAATTTGCATGAGTATTCTGTTCTGCAGATTGCAAAATCACCCGCTAATAACTGCACTTACCTTCTGAGCCTTTTCTGGAACACATCAAAAGCTTTAAAGCAAAAGTACATTGCCAGGATGAAGATATCACTGTCTCTGAGTGCTTCAGCTAAATGCAACTGAGTTGGTACTTACATACAGCATTTATCCTGAGTACAGATTTTAGGAATTTCTAACCTTTATTAACAGAAGAATTATCCAATTGAAGTGCTATTAGTTACTAGTGATTATGAGGCTGTGCTATCTTGTTTAACACCATCATTGTTGCAGAACTGTTTGTTCCCGACCTTAGATAGATGCACAATACAGACAAAAAAAAAAAAAAAGCATGCTTTTTGGCATTCTTTTCAATTCACGTAGTGCAAGTTGTGGTACGAATCATTCATTTTTAAATGAAATTAACTGTAGAATAAATATTTCATTTATGTAGAGGTATATTCCTAGATGAAAATAACTGACTGTAAAGACAAAATGCTCTTTTATTACTTGCATTTTATACATGGTAATTAATCATGCTAAGTCATGCACTGTTAAATTCCATTGAAACGTGCACTATTAGAAGGTAGTGGGATGTACTACTAAGAGGAATTACCGTAACAAGCAATTATTCTAAAAATCTGGATTTAGAGGCATTAAAACTATCGTGCTACTCATTTTAAAAAAAACATTTTCATTAAGTGAAATAATGAAAATCATGCCATACTAGACAGACATTGTATGACGTGTAAACAGACATAAGCTTCATATGCAAGAATCATATGAAAGCTTACCTTAGATGACAATATACATTCAAAAATCCTTACTGTGTAACTAAGGGAGAGAGAGAAAGAGAAGTAACAATTTAATTGCAAACACAAACGTAGAGAGAAAATGTTGAGTGAAATTATGCTTAAAATTATGTCAGGATGGTGTTTTAATCCTTAGTCATGTAAAATATGTAGGAATAGGAGCACATGAAGAGTAAAAGGAAGGGATCCAGTTCCACTTCAAAATTATCATTAATATGTAAAAGCTATATTAATATGTACAAGTAACTATAAATCCTTTAATTAGTCTAAAGTATCTATTGGAACCAAATTATGTAACTGACATTTATGATAAAAGTTTCCAAACGTAGCTTCAAAGAAGCTAACACATATATATATATAGTATTTTCCACCAGGGAAAAAAGGCACACACATAACACTGAAGCATATATATATATATGTTGAAACTCCATAAGGCAAAATAATCAAGTACAGACTAATTGCATAACTGTGCACTAAAGTATGTACTTTGTCACATATCCACATTTACATTACTTAAAGCATGCTATTTACTCTGTAGGAGCCCTTACATTTAATTAAACATTTTGACTCTATAAAACACCCATATATATACATTTATGTATGTGTATGTACATGAAAGCATTCAACTTTGTACCTATTGTAGCCTTTTAAGAAAAATACCTTAATACTTCAAAAACTACAGGAACATTATCTAGCCTGATTTCTTAACAAGTTTTAGGTTTGAAATAGTCAATTTGGATGCATAATATACTGCAGACTCGTTTCTGGGCATCTCTGTCATTTTAAAACTGCACTATCAATATTCTGGATTTGGGCAAGGTTACAAGCAAACACATTTCTATAGAAAGAGCCAAGTTCTCTGAACCTCATCGAAGCTGAATTTAAAATAAGTTCTAGAGGAAATGAAGTAAAATTATATGCTTGTAAGTAAAAAATTTTCACTGATTTCAGTTGGATCGAGATTTCATCCTTTGATTCTGTAGGTTAAGCTCAGGCATGGATTAACATTCTGAGCACTAACTTGTAACCAAAGACTAATCTGTAATAAAGAATGCGTTTTAAGCACAAAAAATGACTTTATGATACTTCTGTTCTTTCAATAATTCTACAAACTAAGAACAGGTTTTTTGAGATGCAAATTTCTATCATCTAATGTCTGAGTGTTCTGGTCAAAGGTAGTCACAGTCATTAAATAAATTCTTTATAGGTACGGGTAGTTCTATGTCCAGTGGCATAGCAGAAATATGTCTAAAACCTTTGTAACTCTGATGTTAAATACCTATATTCTTGATTAATTTGGCCTTCTTTGCTCATGTGACATAGACATTGTATGCCATGAGACACTAGCTAGTTTAATCTAAAAAAGCAAATAAATACACACTTTGCATGCAGTAAATAAGTTTGCATGTGGAAAGAGAGGAAGGGAATGAAATGGAATGTCCAGAGGAGTATGCTTGTTATAAACCTGATTATTCCCCGCCAAGAAGAACGGTTGTCCTGGGTTAATTACTCCATGATATATCACTGCAGAATTAGAATATTTATAGTGGTATTTATTCGCATTTGAAATTCTTCCCAGTTGATTTTAACACCTTTTTAAAAAAATACTTCTCATACAGCATCTTTGCTATCATCAACCTATTAAAGTGATCACCAGTCTTGATTTTGCTCTTAAGATAAACATTATGAAAAAACATTTGTTTCATGATAAAAGAAGCATGGAGCTTTATCTCAATCTTATCATTGACCTCAGTGAAGCTGATAAGGTTTCGGTTCCTTACTGCTTGTAAGGGGAGGTTTACAGCCGTATTTAGGGATCTACCTCCACAAACCTAAAAGATGTATACAGTATTTTCCGTAGTAAGATGAGTATGAAATATGTGTCATGAAATTCTGTGTATGCATCATCTTTCAAGATATATGAGGTAGAGTTACTCTTTTCTCTAAGATCTATTATGTGACTTTTTACAGCACATTTATATTTACAAAACAAGCTATTGTATGTGCAATTGTACCTAGCAGCTCATGTAACTGCCATCTTTATGTTCACTCAGCAAAACTTAGAAGAGAAAAACAAAGTACTGCGTGTCTGAAATAACATCAGTATGGGCAAAATCTTTTTTTGAGGACAGAATAAGGTTTTATTATTGTGCTCATAATTATCACTAAAATTTTTTCAGGAAATGAGCATGAAATGAAATAGTAACAACTAGGTGTTTTGACTTTACACCTAAAATAATGTAAGCAAATGGCTAAAAATGTAGAAAATTGTAGTATACTTATAGTATTCATAGCCAGAGTATTCATAGCTACTCAGTTGTTCAAATACTATGCAAAATCAGAAATCCTAGACTGTTCTCTGAGTAGTTCTGTGACTCCTAAGACTGGGCATATATAATGCATGATAAATTTCAGATCTCCAATACCTCAGAAACAGATGGATAAAAGAAATTCTAGCCAACATAAGGAAAATTCGTTTACCACAATATATACTGTTGCATGGCATAGACCTCTTTAGCATGACTTTAGCATGACTATCCACAGATCTGTAATAATAGCACTGTAGCTAGTAGGTTCACCAGAAGGTAGCATAGCTTTGAGCCTGTTGGTCTTATTCAGGCAACATTCAACTGTATCTCATCATTTTACAAATCCAGACCTTGATTGTTACTTGCTGGAATAAAGCTGAACCAGTTTAAAGCTATACATGTGAAAACACACACACTGCAATCCGTTTCCAGTGAGTCAGAAATCCATAAATATTTGCTCCATGTCAGTGTGATGAGCAGTCATCCGAAGAGCCCTCCTAAATGGACAAACAGGCTGGGAAACTTTAGAGAATGATAATTCAACAAGTAAGTCAATAGAGGAGTGAAATAAGATGTAATTATGTTTTTATGCTCCGGCTGTTTAATACACATTTGCATATAAGATATATCTGTATCATATAGCAAATCCTGAGCCTACCCTAGTTTGCCAAGCTACAGCTGCTGTATTTGCTTAATCCTATTCCCTTTGAATTCATCAGTTGAACTGCCAGTCATGTTAAGAGTGTCAGCACTAAACCTTACAACAGCTGTCCTGTGTCTAAGCCCTACAAATCGCTAGTCTAAATGGTCTTCAAAATGTGTCTAAAGTAATGGCTAAACCTGCCAGGATGGAGAGAGGAATCTTGGCAAGGGTGACCACTCACAGCCCAAACTCTTGGGAGAGAAGCACAATATCAAGCTTGATGGGAGGGAGTGGGACTGCACCAGGTGATGGTTGATATGAAATTGGGTTCAGAAACCAACCATTAACTAGGGGAGGTGGTATTTAGGTTAATAAAGTAGCCCATCTCATAGCTAAGAAGAAAGAAACAACACACAGCCCAGGTGGGATCCTAACAGCCTGCATTTTTCAGGACTTCTTCCAGGTGTGATACAAAACTGAAGTAGTGCTCTGAGTAAGATGTCTATGGCATAGTATTCCATTTTTTCACTTGATCTTTTAAAGTAAATATTACTTTCTTTGAGAAGAAAGAAGGCTTTTCGAGTCTAGAAATGTCTGCTACAAGCCCTTTGTTGTCAGTGGGTGTGAGAGGTTTTGTTTAAAAGTGGGGAAGCAGGATCTAAATCTTATCTAAAGGGAGTAATTCTTACAGCCTCATTCTCACTGTAGCAAAGGTATGTTCAACTGCAACCCCAAGATATGGTGCCAGAGGAACTGAGACTCTAGGACATGCTGCAACCAGCTGATAGAATGATTAATACAACCCTCAGGACATGATGCAAAGCCCTTGCATCTATCCAAGGTTTCCTGTGGGATGAATGATCGGGGGGGGGGCTACTTGAATCTGACTGAGGTGCTAGGGTATGTCAGCAATGTTAAGGACTGGGTCAAAATCTCAGACTCACAGAGCTGGAAGCAATCTTGAGATGTCATGTGGTACATATCATGATCCTAACAAATTGTACTGCTGTCATTCTTCTAAGCTGTTCTTAAAGGCTCTTGGTACTAAGGGCTCTACAACCTCTGCAGAAATGTGCTCTAGTGCTTCACTGCTCTGACTGTTGTCTACCCTAAGTGTTTGCTGCCTTGTTGCCAGATACAATTTTTTTGTTTTAATCTTTAATGCAGCCGATATGGAAAGAATCAGCTGTGAATGGGATGGGTCTGGCACACTATGAACATAATGCATCAAGGGCTCTCCATTTCAGAACACTACTCAGAAAACTGGACCTATGAAAGTTAAATAAACATTTGTCAGCAAAAATCATCAGGGACATCATCTCAGCTGTACCTAGTGATCACTTTAATAAACAGAACTGTAGCTTTTTTCCTAGATACATTACTTCTAATTGACTGGAAAAGGAATCTAAGCATTCCCAGCCTATTTCAGATACCAATACATAAGTGTCCATAAATGTAAGAAACTAAATTCCCCATCAGTATTGATCAAAGGCAAAAATCTTTTCACACTTCTCTCTTAAAAACTCTCACACAGAGCAGCTTCCACTGCGGGTGAACAATTTCTTGGAAACTGTTGCATATTTAAAGAGAGCCTGAATGATAAGATGGTGTTTGTATTACGCATCAAAACCAGCAAACAAATTCATCCTGATATTCAGTGAAAAAAAGTTCCAAGATAACAGAAGCATCTATATTTCACAACAGCTGGAAATGGAATTAGTGAAGAATAATATGTAATCCATGGCAACATTTGGAGTTTGGACTTCCTAAAATCAAGAGATATTTGTTAAATTATTTCTTATCTTAAAAATGTTTCACAGTATTCTGCACATTATATGTAAAAAATTCTTGTAAAATGAAGGATAGAAATAAAGAGCTTCTTGTATTTGAAATGTAGAATTTGATTGTACTACAAAGTGCTGAAGACTAAAAAGTTACAACTGAGTGTAAACATGTAAGAACTTCAGGGCTTGGGGACTTAGGATGTTTAGTGAAATAGCCAACTAACTCGGCCTTTCAGTACAAAAAAATAGATGAAGCACCCTTTTCACGTGACGATGTCTTCTGTTACACTGTGAAATAGAAAGTTGGCTTGTGATTAAGGAAAACAATCAGACTTCCATGATGGGGACATTACCTTTTAAACACAGTATCTTAAGAATAAATAATGAAAAATAAGAAACATATTATGCATATTTTCTTTACGTTAGTTAAATGTTCACTTTCACAGACCAAACGTTTATTGCAATGGCTTCTTGCTAGCAGATTTGAGCTGTGGTATAATAAACATCAGAAAATACAGAAAACAGAAATTGAAATCCAAAATAAACACAATACAATCCATAAGGATATTAAATATTATGGTTTTCATTATAGACTAGCATGATGGAAATAATATAGTTAGGGCAATATTCAGCTAGCCTAAATTCCCTCTAAATTCCTGAGTTAGACACCTCCTATCAGCTGGCTTTAGGCAGTTTTCCTTACTTATAACCTCAGATTAATTTTTTCAGAAATACTTAGCTTATTTCACAATTGAAACAAAAGCCTTTGGTGGGAGTTAGTCCAGCTAAATATGGCCTCATCTTTTCCTAGGAAGCAATTTTCTGAAAAATATGGTCCTGAGATTATTCATTAGTCCAATCCAAATCCTGTTGCCATTCATGATATCCCAGTCAATGCTAAACTACCTGGAATTTGTAAAATTTATCTATTAATGAAAATAAAGATATGTCTTCAGTTGTAGAAGGCTAACCTGCTTCATCCTCTTTCCTTGTATTTGCAAAATCCATAGCTTTGAATACTTTGTTCATAAAGCAAATACAGCAATTATATCAACTAGCTTGTGTCCTTGGGAACAATACTGCTTTTTGCTACGTGATTTGCTAACAAACTTCCTTGGAAGCAAATGTTTGGGTTTTTTAATAAATAATTTTAAAAGAGACAAAGTCTGCCCTGAATTAATCTTTATTCCTTCTCTCCTTCTCCCCTTGCCATTTCCTTCAGAGATGTGTTTCTTATCCAAGATGATTTTCTTCATGTTTTCCCGAAGAACTCTATGGCTGAGTCTTATTAGAGTTTCTCAGATAAGTGGCATAGCTCTGAGAATTACAGTCTATGGTTTTGACACTTGTGAAAAAGTCCTTGCAATCCCTGAAGATGTGAATCGGCATGGGAGGGAGGACGGGGGGGGGGAGACAATAAAGCATAAGCACAGCATGTTGATCCTCAAAAAGAAAACAAAGCAACAAATATAGTTTCTTTTGTCCTAACGAAGTTGTTATTTTTATCCGGGAAAGTTCAAAAAGTTGTTTGAACTCCCTTTTTCATTTGCTTTGCATACTTTTCTATCTAGATGGTGTTCAGACAGACAGGGCATTTGCAATGTTTTAAAACCCTTACCTTTTACTTCCAGTTTGCAATCAACTTCTGCCTCTCCAAGTTCATTGACTGCTCGGCAGCTGTAAGTACCTCCATCGTAGGGACTGGGTTTGCGGATCTCCAAGGTACAGACACCTTGGTTGCTGAACATTCGGTACCTTGGGTCATTCATTATAATGACTTTGTTTTTCAGCCAGGTTATTTTGGGCTGTGGTAAAAAGAAAAGAAAGCCCACATACACAAACCTATGAACTGAAATATTATATGACTTTTTGTGATGGTCAGTTAAAGCTGAGTAATCCAGAAGTGATACAAAATAGATAAAGCAGTGATAGAAAGGAAACTAATTCTTAACTCAAACATAAACATGGGCTGCATCATGCATCTGTTTTTAAGCATGATTTTTTCAGTGCAGCTCTTATTACACAACTAAAGTCATAAATATAAGCCTGTTATCAGTATAAGAAGTGCTATGTAATGATAGCAAACATCTGAGCAATAGCTTTTGACATCCAATTACTCTCAATCAGTAAGAAAAGCATGTATTTTCACTATAATTTTCGCAATTAGAAATCGCGAAGGTGAAGAGTAAACAGCAAACATGTTCTTAAACAGTCTTGAGTTCTGATATTACTAGGTCAGTTTAGTTTCTCACAACAGAAAACAGATCACAAAAAGGCACAACTCAAAAGAAACTGGAAGATGCATTGCACAGTGGGTCTGAGAATCAATGAGGTCCCCAGAGTATTCCTGCAATGTGCTTACTTAAAGCATAATTAGTTTTTTATAGAATAATTACAGCTTTATTTTGGTAACAACCTTCACTGATATATTAACTGTACAGCTGTTGTCAGTGCCAGTCCCAGTATAGCCCAGTCTTTTCCTGAGGTTCTGCCCTTTCTCTGAGTTATCTATGGATTTAGTAACTATTCTAATGCATATAACACAGGCAAGTATATCCTTTTTTGTATTCTTTAGAGCCCACACCACTCTTTTTGCCTTCAACCTGACTTGTGAGCGAGACAAATAGTAAAAATGGTATTACAATTTTTATTGTCAGGTTTAAACTCTCGTATTTTAACTGATACTGTTATGCTATGCTGTGAGCTATGCTGTACCTTGGGGTTGCCCCGAACACTACAGTTCAAAGTAGCGTTGTAACCAGCTACAGCAAATGTGTTGACTAGAGGCTGAGTAAACAATGGCCGTTCACTGAAGTCAAAATCGTCGTAAACTGGATATTTGTAGATCTTACCTATGAAATGAAAAGAAAACATTTATAAAAAGAGTGTTGGCATGTAGCTGAATACCCAAGCATCTCAAACAGCTACAAAGAGTCAGTTCTGATCTGCACTGCTTTAGGTACCAACGTGACTCTAGTAATTGCACTTGCAGGGCAGGCTGGAAGTGAGCCTGTGAAGTGACTATAGCCCTTGGTCATGCTATAGTGTAGATGTCTGAGAGCTTCTTTTTGTTTCCTGAGTCGGTGGTATACAAAATAATACACATTTATTCTGTGTCTCTGCCTGCATGCTCTGCATGTTACAGAACAGGACAGATCCTCACTGATGTACTGCGGGATGCCTACCTTGTCAAGCTTTGTTCACTCTCTTGCCAATTACTTTTCACAGTGTGTTCTGATTACAAACTGGCTCTGTATCTGAAAACCCATTTTTCTTTCTGCTTCTTACAGTGCACTAACAGAACAGATACCTGAATGGGTGTAGTTTACACACAAGAAAAACATGGTAGTAAAATCTTGTTTCTTACTGCCACTTTATCCCTGCTCTGCAATGGAGATTATTGTCAATAAGTCATCTTCACCAACAAACTGAGTTGTCATTTAAAACAGCTGGACAGAATGACATCTATTCCTGTGCACAGGTATCATAAACATCTTTGCTTCACTGAAACCTGATCCAAGCTCTCATACTGACTTCAGTGCAGCTTAGGCCTGATACTTGCTCTCGTGACAAGACCAAGTAAGCAGTGATGAAAAGCAATTCCTACAGCCATCCTTTTGTTCATGATCCCATTTCTAAAAGAGAGGTAGTTTTCTTTTTAATAATAGAAGTAGGGTCCAGTACCCTGGACCTTTAGTCCTTCAGCTTGGCTGTGTGGGTTGTACAGGTTGTCTGTCCTCTGCATCATGGCAGTCATGTATTCCTTCCTTTCAGACAAACTGAGATGATCTGGTTTGATTTTCTTCCTTTGAACTACCTGCTTGTAGAATTTCCCGTCCATAAAGGGGCAGTTAATTTTTATTTTTTTTTAAAGTTTACGGTACCATTTCAAACTGACAATTTCTGAAATGTCAAGATTTCCGCCCACAGAATCAGAATTTGTCCAGCTCCACCTGAAAGAGATGTGAAGCAGGGGTTATGCTTATCTATTGGATCCTGCCTGAAATGGAGCAGTTGCACAGCTGATGCCAAGTCTCCGCTGGGAGGCAGTGACCTACTGTGTCTAACAAGCAGCTGCTTTACTCCTCTTCCAGCTCTTGTCGACTTAGATCTGCCAGTGGTGACATGAGTCTGAGATCCCAGATTGTAGAAAATGTCAGAACATAGGAAAAATGTCCCACTCTCAAATAAAAAAAAAGAGACTATGAACTATGTGGACAAACCAAGAAGTCCTAATATGAAATGTCCTAGCTGTTACTTGAACCTTGTCTGAATGTGTCTGAATGCTTTAGAGATACTGCCTTTACCTCTAATCACCTTCCAGCCTCTGAACACACCCCTTCCCTTTTGACAAGGAATGGATAATTAGCTAACCATCCTTTGCAATCAAAGCGCTCTCTTTCGTCATCGTTGCATCCTCACTGAGGCCACACATGTTTTCAGCGAAGATCCGGAAGTAGTACTCGTTTCCTATGACGAGCTCGTTAATGGTGGCACTGGTGCGGTGGTAGTGCTCCATTACTGTGAACCATTCCTGAAAGACACAAACATGGAGAGTAAGCTTCCCCGCAGTGCCCTGCACCTCTCAGCCATGAACTGTTTGGAAGAATCCTCAAGCTTGTAAAAGTATGATTTTTCTTTTAAGTGAATGTTACTGTATACTGAAATAGTGAAGCTAACAATAATTAATGAAATGAGTGATAATGAGAATACCACAGAGTTCACTGCTGAGCAATGAAGGCCAAATGGAAAGTGAACTCTACTGAATTGTTACACTGTGTTAGCTGGGAGGTTCGTGTTAGGAAATCCAGTATTACAAAGGTTGTATTGTGCGGGGCAAGGCAGGCTCCTTCATTCCTGTCCACGCTGCTGACAGGGAAGGTACTGCTGCAAATAGGAAAAGTGTAGGCTGGGCGGGAAAAGTAGTAGTGTGCACTAGTCTGCAGCGACATGTACTCACAAGAGGCCAATACACTAATCTATTCCCTGTTCCACAGGTTGAGTGTTCATGAGAAATGTAATTTTAAGCAGGTGGTCCTCTGATATCTAAAGGTTCAGATGGGGAGGTGGGTTTTAGCACTTTAGTCTTGCAGCGGTAACAGGACATGTGAATTCTATCCTAGTATACTATACCTAAATAACGAGCTGAGATGAAAGAGATTAATGCTAAAAATGCAATTAATATAAAGTGCAATATGACCACAGCAATGTTTTTACTTTTCTTTACTCTGCCCTACCTAGTTTTCTTCCTTTTCTAAAGATGAACTTGTGCTGAGTTCCCTGTGCCACAATTTGCATTGATATTTGGTCATCTTTGAAAGCCAAAGTGCTTTTTGGGACAACAGTTTTCTGCAGAAGGCCAACTGTGCCAGAATTGCAAAATTCACCACCTCAGAGAATGTGGGGAAACTATGACCTGAATGATCCATAACACACTGGACCCTAGACACTGCTGTTGTTGCTTTCTCCTTAACACAGTAATTTAGAGACAGGGGACATCATTGTTCTGGTCACTGTACAGAGACCATCTCTTCTTACAGTCTGAAAAGAAAGAAAAAACGAAGGATGGGAAGGGAAACAGTGGCACAGGAAGAATGAATTCATCAGACCAGGAAGCAGATCAGCATATTAAAGGGGGGAGAAGGGGGACAGCAAAAAGATTCCCTTAGATGAGGCAACTCCCAAAATATTGTCCTAGATTTCCAGTGTTTAAATTTGCAGTAAATGTTAAATGTAAGAATCCAACTACTGTCTTTTAAGGAAGTGTAAAATTCATGTTAGTTTAATGAAAATAATAAACATCTCTATATTGCACTTTTCGTCTGTAAGTCTCAAAGCAGTTTACTAATTACATATGTACCATTTTGCCATGGGTAATAACGGGTGGCAATGACATAATATGACATTACAGGTTTGCAAACAACAGTGCTACATTTTGATTCTAGTAGCAACCTACTGACTTCAGAATTAATATTTTTCAGTTTTATTTTCACTACTGAAATGTAGGAAAAAAAACAGAATTACTTCCCTGAAATTCACCTGTCCTTTCCTTTTTAGTTCTCCTCTTTGGCATCATCTGAAAACACTTCCATTTCTAAGCTTTAGATACAGTGAACAGGGGATTTTTAGAATTTTTAGAGATGTCTTGCAGATTTTCTGAGCACCGACTAATCAATGCTTTGTCCACCTACATCAATTTAAGCATGTAAGGCTTCCTATTTTTAAAAGGGAGAATTCATGAGTACATCAGCCTTTTAAATATCTCCTTATTACTTACCATACTCTTCTTATCTGCTTTTTGAATAGTGTATCCAGTAATGGCAGCATTGCCATCATCTTTTGGTGGCTTCCATGATAAATTTACATTCTCTCCCCAGACGTCCTCAATAGTTACAACCTCTGGTGGGCCTGGGCGATCTGTAATGAAAATATGGCAGCTGACATTTTCTACTGTTTGCTTTCTCTCTCTCTCTCTCTCCTACACAGATCTTCCACTTAGTTTGATTTCTCTCTTTCTTAAAACATGCACATGCCAAAACTAATGTCAAAGAAAGCCAAGGTTGCAAAATAAAACTTTCCAAAGACATGTCAGAATTACAAAAAACTTGACAACTTTTTGAGTATGGTTTCTAATATGCACAGGCTCTTTAATTGCATAAGGACGTAATATTTTGCAAAAGTTAAAACCAGTTGAAGATGTATTCCTAAAAGACAAAGTCAGACAATCATTCTAAAGGCTGTGCTGCCATTTTTCCATTTTTGCCTATTATGTAAAGAAACAGATTGGTAAAAATGAAAAGTAAATGTGTTTTCTTGTCTGTCTTTCCTACTCTCATGTACTTTCAACATTTAGGATTTCTTCCGCATTACACTTGTGAGAAAGTTACTATGAATTTAGTACCATTTCTGGCTGTATTTCCACTCAACAGGAAAAAGCTTGCGTCCTGGATAGACAAGAACATGAAAAACATAACAGTGAAAAAAAAGACTGACATGTTCCAACAACCACCTGCCATTGTGTAGGGAGGTTTACTTAGAGACCACAAATCTATAGCCAAATAATTGGATGTGGAGAGTTATTACTGTTGAGACAGACGCTCTTTGGATTCCACTGTTTTCCTATAGCCTTGGAATGGTTGGAGTTTGCTTCTCTGGCATGCATTTATTTCTGTTTCTCAAAACATACCAACAATCTGAATATCTATTGTAGCTTTGTCCTCCAAGTTCTCTACTTGCACTTTCATGTTATATTCTCCAGAGTGGTTCCTTTCTGCCTTTCGGATGAAGATGATAGTGTCATTTTCAGTGTTGCGAATGTTGATTTGGTTCTTGTCGATTGGTGAACCATTTTTCTGCCATGATACTTTTGCCCTTGGTCTTCCCTGGAAGAAGCCAGGAAACAGTTTGTGTATGTTTTCAGGAGAGAAAAGGATGGGAGAGAAAATGGGTTCATTTCCCGTTTTTCCCAAATGGGAAATAAAAACAGTCCTGAAAGAAACTGAGAATTCTTTTTAAAATCATACAGCATTTGAGATGCTATCATATTAATTCACCTAAAATGAAGTTTGCTTTTTTTTTTTTTCCCATGAGACTGAAAATATTTGCTAATTCTGGCTAAATTGGACAATTTACTTTGTGGCTAAATTTCACAATTAATTTCTAGTTTTCTAAAAGGAGGAAAAAAACCCAGAAAATGCTGAACAAAATATTTCACCCTCTGGAAGCGCCTACATTCTCTACACTGCCAGTGAAAGAGGAAAGTAGTGGACTAAACCTCCAGGGATCCCAAACTCTCTTTTTTCATTGCAAAAGCAGTTGAAATAGTTGTTAGGTAGGCTGGATTGACATCTTTTGTGTGCCATTTTTGTGTGTCTAATAGTGTCCAATTTAGGTACTCAAATCAGAGTGAATTCTACCTGCTTTACCATGGGATTTGCCTTCCAGAGTCAAACAATTTGCAGATACTGTCTGAAAAGGGTAATCTCACACCTTTTGAATGCATGATCTTAGAGAATAACCACAAAATATTTCTTTAATTTCTCAAGAGCAGTGTATCTTGCAGTGTACTGCTGATCATGCTTTTATTAGGCTTTTTACAGCCTTGTAGAAACCCGATTATGCCCACCCAGTATCTTTAGGTGTGCAGACATGAAATAGAAATTAATTCTGCTGTAATTCTTGTATTCAGAAGAATAAGGACCCTGCAGGTAGAGACACAACCACTGTTGTAAAAGGTAAGGAAATGAAGGTTATCACAATACTGTGGGAAAACATGCTGTATCTTTAGAAATAGTCATATTGTAGCTGTGATCTCAAGGATTTACAAGTTGCAGTTTCTATAGGAGACAGTGAAACTGCCCACTCTTCCCCTCTGTTTTCCTCTCTCTCATGACAAGAAAATAATTAAATGCTACAGTCCCACCCTTGATACCATATCTATCTACTGCCAGTGTAGCCATTTTGCATTGTGCTAGCAATTATCTCATGTGTAATGTCTACTGTGAGGATTTATAAGTGTCCTTTGGATGACCAATGACAAATTAGTCTGTCTAAGCTAGTTACCCAATTCATTAATTGGCTTAACATAATTTCTTTGAGATGTCAAAGCAAAAGCTTTCAAGCACCTATGTACTTCAGTGTGCTTCCACATCTGCTTAAGTTAACTCACTGGTCTACCAAAGTTACACGGAAATAAGTTAAAAAGCAGTGGTATAAGACAAATAGAGTATTTTCATGTCAGTGTTTTTAGTTCTTACCTGGAAAGGAATAACAAGATTCACAGTTTCGCCAACTCTCCGCATATAGGTTTGTTTTAAGTGTCTTGGTAGACGAATCTTTGGAGGTTCTGCAAAAAGCCAAAAGTTTCTGTCTGATATTTATCTTTCCTAACTGAAGCATCACTGGTGGGCATCAGTATAAATAGGAGACCGTGTGGTCTGCAATTCCCAGAAGTGACTAATGAGCGAGGTATCTAAAATTTCTTGGTCCCACAATGTTACATTCAGTACACTGCCATTTTTTGTAACACCAAATCCTATGGTGGTAGGAATAGGTGAGAAACCTAATGCAACTTACAAAAAGCAACATCAAGTTCAAGTTCTGAAGAAAAAAAACTTTGAAAGCCTAAGCAATAAAGGGTCAGTAAGAAAAAAAAAATAAAAAGTATTATGAATATTTTTAAAGACTGTTACATGATTTCTAGCCACTGCACAATGACTTTGTAAGGTCATATCGTTGGTTTCCAACAAGAAGTAAGTATTAGCCTTAAAAAAGCAGAACTAAGTATGGAAGCAGAGCGTATTTGTGGGTGGGCATAGGCAGGAGGATCTTACCTATCACTTCCTTGACTAAAATAGGCTGTGGGTGGTACCTGGGCTCACTTTCACCAGCAGCATTCACAGCTTTTACCCTCACAAGGATTTTTGAACCAGTCGGCAGGCCGTTGATAGTAAACTTCGTTTTGTCTGTCAGCTCCGGGTTAGCCACAATCCATTCATCAGCTAGTTTAGGGAAAAGAGGAGGGGAGGACGAATTGAAAGAATAGGGAATTATAAATACATCCACTGCACAGATGAGGAAAATTACAGAAGAGTAATAGATTCATTATATTCTAATTAATACCTCTATTTTGTTTGTCTAATCATGCTATAACATGATAATGATTCACTTTCACACGTAGGAAGATTGTTTCAAACCATGAAGAGTTTCTGCCGATTATATATTTATAGAGAAATAAATGTTTTTAGAATGTGTCTGTCATTTAATTGTACCAGAGTGAACACTGATTAGTTTTTTTAATTCAGCTGATAGAAAACAAGGGGGACATAGAGTATCTTTCCAAAAGCACTCATCATTGCTCTAACAGCTTCCTTAGAGAGAAATGGGTTTTATAATTAATTTCAACCAGTACTGAGTACCCTTGAAAGTACCACTGAGAGCACAGGCATGAGAGAAACACAGAATATTTACAAATTGCAATGAAATGCCATCTCTCCTCGTGCCTTTAAAGAAGGAAGGCTGTGTCAGAATTATTCACATAGTTACAGCGTTCTCAGATTTTTTGTCCTACGCCTAGACAGTCGCATGTAATCCATAGAGTGATTGTAACAGTCCAGTCTTGCGGAAGAGCTTCAATTACAAATGATACTTCCTATTCCACCCTGTCCTCCAAACATAGATTGCTTTAACACTGCTGGCACCTTGACATTTGGAGTCAGATTTATGCAGTAGCAAGTCAGGATTAGTGCTTTCCACATCATATAAAGATAGCATTATAAAATTGTCACAGAAGATGAGAGAACTATTATAAACTAGAGAGCCCTGAAGACTTAGAGTGCAATAGTGTGGTACATTTTCATAACTATATGTCTTACTTTTAGGAATTAAGTTCTCCTTCAAGCTGCTTCTTTCAGCTTCTAGCAGAAGAGGATTGCAATCAATGACTGTTTTCCAAGCACCTCCCCCTCCCCTTATACATGTACTACAGCAAATTCTGTAGACTGTTGCCCCTAAAATTCACTCTCAGAAATTTATCTTTACTTTTATGAAGAGATTTTTTTCTTTCATTAAAGAAGATTTATATCCTTTGTTGAATACTGTACCTTCCAAGTTAAAAGGTGGCTCCACCAATTCCTCAGACAGATCTGTCGATATACCTTGTGAGAATCCATCTTTAAAATTAATCAGAGACACCCACTTTCACACAGATGGAGCATTTTGTCAGTGGTTAGCAATTCCTGTTAGTAAGTATGCAAAGATAGATGCTGGGCTTTAAAGATTTAGAGGACTCATACTTAGGGAGACTGCAGGGAGGAAAGAGATGGGAAGAGGGCATCTAGAACAGTTATGCATGATGCTCACAGGAAAAATAAAGGATAAAGGAAGAGGAGGAGGTAAGGTTGTTTTTTTCCTTTGGGCCTGATCACAGCCCTGGAGAGATGAAAGAGACAAAAGGAACATTTGGAAGAGAGAAATGAAACAAAATTGTGATGGGAGAAAGTGTAGGAGGACAAGATAACACATCATAGAAGAGAGAAGAAATTCAGAGAAGAATTCTGAGTAAGACAGAAAAAGAGAAGTCTTGGAAAAAAACTTGGGGAAACAGAGGAAGAGAACACATTTAGATAAAGGCAACATAGAAAGAAAATTAAAGAAGGCCAAAATGATGGATGATGACAGATATGATGTAATCACTAAGGCTTTATTTCCTGGACAAAGCTATTACTGCCCTGGATTTCCTGGAATCCTGTACTCGGCTATTTTCAGGACAATAAAAATACTATTCTAGTGTCTATGCGTGTCCTGGATGGGTGCAGTGACAAAGATCTCAGCCAACAGAGGCTCTCCAAAGTGCTTATTTACTAGTATGAAAACAGATAATCTGCAGGTACCATGGCCCTTTAAAGGCAGATAAACATAATGTCCTAGGGAAAACTAAGGCCAAGCTCATCAGACTGCCCTTGAAATGTCACACAAGAACCAGTCAGCAGCATACATTCCTAGGAATTGACTTCTCTAGTGTCAATAAGATTTGGTCTACTCCACATCACCACAGCAAGAGGTTCAAATTGGATATTGTAAACTAGCCCTGGGAAGTTCTATATTCATGTTATTCACACCTATGCGATGTCAGATCGATACTCATGATGAGGCTGCAGTTCAGTAATATACACGGAGAGCTGTCAAAGGTGCTACCATAGTTAAGGAAGTCCAAGGGCCCACCATGTTGATCAAGTTATGAAATTCAGACTAAAGGGAAATACCAGTTTTCATGAAGCCAAACCAATGATCATGGTACATGATTCTTTTGAATTATATATATATATTGTCTACCCATTTTCAGCTTGTGATTTCTCCTAATGATTGCTATGGTAAGGAGGACTCAAAAAAGCCCTCTAAATCTACATCAGTTACAACGATGAAAGAATGGAGAAGGTAAAGACAAATGAGTTTACAAACAGATAACTAAAAGAAAAGAACAGCAGAATGAATATAGACAGTCATAAAAAGTACCACCTTGAAATTCAAAAGAGTTATTAAACATTATAGAAGAAATTAGTTTGAGGCAGAACAGGCACTGAAAGGACTGAGAAAAGAAGGCACTGTGATATTGCAAGAAAGAAAAAAAAGGACTGAACACAGAGAAAAGGATGTATATTCCAATAACACGTCCTTTTAAATTGGTGTTTTCTACTAAGCTTGCTTCTTCCTAACCATTTTCATAATATATATACATAAATAATGTCAATTGTGTATATATAGATGTATATACATATATAGGAGGCATATATAGATATACATAAACACTCAGAAAGCTATGTAAAATACATTGTACCCATTGTATTTTGACTGAGGTGGGTAACAATAAAATGACAGACTTGACTGCCATTTTGTTGTATCTTCATAAGTTTTAAACCTATCTGAAAAAAAAAAAAAAGTAAAGAATTTGTTCCATTCAGCAGGTATACAATGTTCTTCTGTTTAATAGTCCTTAAAAGATAGATTTGGAAGATTCCTCTGAAAACCATAGTTTGCATTAGCATATATATATATATATTTCTCATCCTCTCTTATTATCTAATTTGGATATCACATACTGTAATGTCAAGGGTTTTATGACAGTAGCATATTACAAGCACTTTTAACTTTTTCCCCACCATCCTACCAATGCTAAACAGAGCATACACTGAAGTCCTCGCATTGGTAGTCCCCTTTATATTCCCATGCATCTTGCCTGTGCAACGGAAACATTGTAGGAATGCTGCATCTTGATCTAAGACTGCATGCTTACTCGTTCTGAGCTGTTCCCACAGCTCCCTCCCAATATACAAGGAAAACCCTTCCTACCATTCCAGCTGTGTCTGCCTTCAGGTAATCTTCTCCAGATCTCTGAGCTTCTTGCAGTCTGTTCCTGCTCCTTACAGATATTCAGCTCAATACTATGAGATGCTGAGTGCTCCTGATAAAAGCCCGTGGTTCTTCTTCACTCCCTCTCCCACTTGCTGAGTGAGAGCTGAGGGCACTCTGCTTCTGTGGTATCTGACCACTTTTGTGAACTACTGTTTTCCTGGGTTGTCTGAATCTGAAACATGTGACAGTGTGAATGACAAGTTCTGTCATCTACCTCGTCCCAGGCTGTGGACTGCATTCATGAAAAGCTTTCATTGAAATAAATTCCTTTATGAAAAAAGGTGTCCAACTCATCACTTGATTTACAGCACAGTTAAGAGCAGCAGCTAGCAGAGCTGAAGATAACTGTGTCCCATTCATCCAAATACACACATTACTGGAGTCCCACTGACTGACATTTGCCCACAGAGGCCGGGTATTGCACATACCACTCCAGGCTATTTGATATTTCCCCAGGGGTTGGTGAATTTTACTTTTTGAAAATAGACTTCATTCAATGCCAATTTAGAAGAAAATCTGCTGGAAAATACTAAGTTTCTGCTGCTTAATCACCAAAACCTCTTAGTTGTAAAATATAAATTATATTTCCCTATTTCTTATTATTTTACTTTCATACATTTATTCAGTGTCTTATGTCTCTATCTTTCTCCTTCAGTTCTGTATAGATTTGTGTCTTAGATGGACATAGTTAAAGATCCTGTATCTAACTACACTGAAATGTTGGAGAAATTAAATATCCAGACTTTTAAATATGCCATGAACTTTGCATGCGTAGATAACTTCTACAGCGAGCTCTTGGAGAGGCTGTCTGTCCTCAGTATTGGGAACTGGCACCTGAAGTGGCCAATTAGTAATATGTCAAGATAGGAATTACCACACTGAGGACCTCCTGTCCCTAAAACCCAGCCAACTTGTGCATATTTTGGACCATACTTACTGTTGTTCGTTATTTCCTATTCAATCATCCGTCCACTCTTCACTGCATCAACTCTTCATTTAGCTCGAACAAGAGGATCGCTATTAACATGGTACTTGGTACACTACAACAGATTATATGGCTTTTGATTTGTATTTCAGATCAAATGTAAGATGGGTTGAACTACAATCAATGGGTGGGATCTGGAATACAAACCAAAGGAAGCCTGAACAAAACCCTGCTGCTTGAGATTTTCTGACTGATTAGTCTATGCCTTAAAAAGTGAGAGCACCTGATACCCATAGAGAAAAAAATGGAGAAAGTCACCTACTTTCACTATGAGTAACATACCACAGTCGTTGTCACTTACTTCCTTCAAAGCAGTACTCTACAACATAGCCGTCTAACCCTGCCGCTCCGATGTGGTCTGGTGGCCTCCATTTCATTGTAACTGAGGTATCAGTCACTCCATCCACCGCCAGGAGAGTCGGTGGACTGGTAACAGCTGAAGCAAGCAGGCAGCAGGGAGAAGGCAGAAAAATGTGTTACAATTAAAGGCTGACATTTATGGTGTGTACTTCTCTAATTTAGCATTGTGGGTGACAGGCTAAACCCTGCCTAATAGGCATTTCCAGTCGTCCCTGACACATCTTTCCCAATCAGGACCAAACTAGGAGAAGCAGGTATCTCATTCCCTGTCTGCTCACAGCCTAACCCAGAGTTAAATTCCTCCTGCTGAGGAGTGAGAAGGACAAAGAGCAGTGGAAGATAGTTGTTGTGAGTAGTTGTGTGTCGCGTATTCTACAACAGCAGGTATTTTCTGGGAAAGGAGAGCATGCTGTAGCAATAACAGCCACCTTCCTCCTCCTCCTCTGCATTGTGAGGGTGCCCCTGAGCAAGGTGGGAACCTTTGCTGGCCTAGAGAACAAGACACCTTTCTTTTACAGGGACTTGTGATTGTCACAGTAGTTTGAAAATCTGTTTCTTTGCAGGAAAAGGCTACCAAATTAGTCTGTCACTAGGTGAATGACAAGGCCCTCTAGCTGTTACATTAATATAAAGCAATAAGATGATGTGTAGAATAGTATAAAACATGATGTAGCCTAATCTGGATTGTCTGCAAAAGTATATTGAAAATATGTGATCCCTTTCTGGGAAAAAGTCGCTACTTCAGCTAATGGGGATTGATGAGGCGCAGAGTGAAATTAGGGACTATTCAAATGTATCTTATCGTATGATTTGTTGTAATGTTGGGGAAAATTCACTTATTTTTTCCATAGATTTCTACCATTATGATAGATCGTATGCTTGTGATTTTTTTTTTTATTGGAAATGTATAGATTATTTGTGAATACTTGTACATTTTAAAATGGCAAGCTACTATGCAACAGCAAAACGTTAAGTAGTGACACGTGAAAAGAAGTCTCAGTTTCATACAGTGCAGTCTGCAAATACTGATCTTTAGACTTCTGGTCGCTTTTCCTGACCGTTTTTGGCCAAAAGCCGGTGCCTGACTGAACTTACAGCAGGAGAAAGACACATAAATCAATCAAGACTATAATTAAACATCTTTATCAGTTCTCTAAATTGGCAGCTTGCCTGGCAGTAGTTTGACTCTGTTGACTCAGGGGGTACCAGTGATGATACACAATTATGTGGAACTATTAGTTCTGGTCTTGAAAACATATTGACCATAGTGTTGACCATATCAATAGCACCAGTAACATGTGACTGTTTTTTTGTGGTGCACCATTTTTCTGTCTATATATCCTTGTTTCTTGTTTATAAAAGACTATAAATCCTTCAGGGATAGACATATAGTTTACACTGCATCTAACAAAGACAGGTCCTGTGCAACACAAGTGCAAGCACTACATTTATATAATTAGATTACTGTAATAATGCATTAATGATAATTTTCTAAATGCATATCTATCTCTATGCTCTTAGTTACTTACCTAAAGGAACAAAGGACTTCGAAGGCATACTTGGTTTGGAAATGCCTATTGCATTAACAGCAAATACACGGACCTCATAAGCAACACCTTCAATCATCTTCTTTGGCTCGAAAGTTGTTTCTTTACACAGTTCAAAATTCAACCTCATCCACCTGGAGCTTTGTTTCTTTTTCCTTTCAATGAAATATCCTGTTGACCAATCAAAATTTTATTATAGCAAGTGGTGGCATAAAGCTCAATAGTGAGTGGTCTATTTTTTGGTGCCCAATGGCATTTTTTCTGGATGGACCTCAATATCCCCTTCTAGCCCCAGGCTGGTTTAGGGGTTATTGTTAAATCTTTCCCATTGCAATCTATCTGATAGAGACCTGTTTGGCTTTCATGGACACATACGAGCTTTTTTCAGACTTCAATTATAACACCGCTTTATTTAGTTCAGAGTGAAAAGGGCCTGATTCTGCTGGCCTCTGGGCCCCTCTGACTTTCTGTTTGATTCAGTGTATTGGAAGATATTCCAATTTACTCAGTAAACAGTTTCTGAAATTCCTGCTAACATTCAAACAGGCTAACTGTTCAAAGTTTGGTATTATAAGAGGTTGTCTTTCAAGTAGGGGGATTGATAATGTGGCAACATACAAAAAAGCGTTAGAAAAACAGGTATCTGATAAAGTCAAAGATTGAGTAGAACATTCTTGCAACTGAATACTCAAAGTGCAGCTCTCCAAGGCCTGAGCTAAACTCTGATCCTATGGAGTCCATTATTTGGTGTTTGTTTCTTTTGTCTGTATTAGAGCATCACCATACAAAAAAGTATGTACCTAAGATGGGTGATCCACCATCATTTGCTGGAGGTTCCCAGGTCATAACACACCAGTCTTCACCCACCTCAGTCACATTTGGTGCCTGAGGAGGATCAGGGACATCTGTTGTAAACAAAGTAGACATTATTTTTTTAAAAAAATCTTTCTTCTTTTTACATAAATTTAAATAAAAAGTGTCAAATAAGAAACACATCTGAATAGTTTTAAGTGCAACAGGAGTTCATAATGAGGAGAGAGAGAGAAAGAAGGTCTCTTTGGATCCTGGCAGATGGTTAGGAAGGGATGAATGCCAAGCTCCTCAGCACAGTCAAGACACTTGAGAGACACTTGACGGCTCGTGGTAAGACAGAGCCCAGAGCCACATGGGGAATGGAGAAGGGAGACTCTTAACAGCAGCCTGAGGCAACTGCACAAGTTTGGCCCCTGCAGCGTGAGGTTGCAGGGGTGTGATAATTAACTCCTACTTCAAGTCCGTGCTAAGCTCCTGTGCCCTTCAGTAACACTGGGCCTTAGTATCCTTGCACCTCTATTCCACACCTGAAAATGGGGAGAAACAGGGAAATGGAAGTTTTCCAAGAATCTACAACAGTTTGGTAGCTAGGGAGGATGACATCTACAGAAGAGACCCTTCAGATAGAGGAAGAAGAATTTGTCTCTTGTTGGGGTGCAGAAAGGCAGGGTGATTTAAGGAGCATTTATTGAAAAGGGCTGTGATAAAAGACATGGCTCATGTGCACTGTTCCACATGACTTACCAACGACTTTAATGTTGATTAGAGCTGTGTCCTCTCCAGCCTCATTCTTTAACATTATTCTGAAAGGACCTGAATCTTCTCTCTCAGCTGCATCAATGACCAGACAGCTGCTGTCAGGGTATGTTTCTGCCCGTATTCTTCCACTGTCTGTGATCCACTAGGAAACAAAGTAAGCAGAGGGAAAAGTCATATTTTCTGCATTTGAGAATCAAAATGTTCAAAAATCAACATCCAAATGCAGTACAGGACACTTCTGCAAAAATAGTAAAGCAACCGTAAGAAAAAACCCACTAAAGCTCAGAATTTCAATTACCTTATGATCACAAAAATGTCAAAATAACTGAGGGACAAATAAATGACTTTAAAATACAGTAACTGTTTAGTACTCAGTTCAGCCATTGCATCTCAAAGGAAGAGGCACTAGGCTTACTTGTCCTGTGAGCAAGAACATGCTTTTGGCAACACTACCTGTCATTAATTTGATGGAAAGAGAGTAGTGGATTCTCCCAAAAGTCAGATCAAAATGTAATTCATTCAGTTTAAAGGTCAGAGTGATTGTAATGGTCAGTAGTTTGTCCTCACAGACTTCAAATGCTGGCACATATTTTGGAGTAAGAGCTCTCCTAGAATAATTTCCTATGTGGACAAGTCCATAGTGGTGATACTACAATTAATATTTGAAAAACAGGAGTCAGAGATTTGACCAGGCAGGTCTGACGAATCCAGTAATAATAGTATGTTCTAGCTTCCACATACCACAATGAAAATTTAAATGTGAAAAGCGTTTTTTTGGCCAGGGGTTGATCTTTGCAAAGTTTTGCATTAAGACACCAGATGCAAGACACCAATTGCCCAGCTTATTGTTTCATTTGAGACTTGACAGTCCGTCAGATTTTATCATTCATTTTTCAAAACCAGACCATACCATGGCTTCCTGTCAAAACCTGGCCTGGCAACCGTTCTGGGCAGTATGTGCAGAAGAAGTAGCCATTTGGTAGAATTTCTCTAGTTTTCTTCTGCATCTCATATGTCCATCTCTTTTACAATTTATTTATAGCAAAACCATATTTTTTTCCTTCGTTAATTTCAGCCTCTCCTCAAAAAGACCCAAAAGGTACTAAATAATATTTACCCATTTTACCCTTCATTTTTGAGCAAGGAGAGCTTTTTAGATAAAATGCATCTCCTCCTTATTTTCTGCCATTAAAATAAATGTCTTCACAAGGCTAAAGGTTATTTTTTGAAGGAAAAGACCCCTTGTTAAGCTAAAGAAACATGCATAATGAAAATGTACCTTGTCCCCTTTACTCCACATGACTTTTGGAGTTGGCTCGCCAGTGATGGGGATCTCAAGTCGTAGTTTGCTTCCTGCCACTACTGTCACAGTGTTACCTTCCCCAAGACCATCCAGGTGGAGTTTAGGAGGATCTGAAAAAGGAGAGATTGTCCACATTTGCCATGTGGCTGCCACTCCGAGAGTTCAGTGACCTGGCACAGGTCTGCAACATAGAGAAACATGCTCTGTTTTGTATTTTCTTGGTATTTTTAGTCAACTGATTTTTTGTTTGGAAGAAAATTTGTGAAGAATATTTCTTTTTAAGAAAATAGTTGTCTGATAAAAAATAAATCATGGCACCATAGAAGTTTTGCAATAGTAGGACTATTAAAAAAAACCAACCCAAAACTGTCTTCCTGAGGCGGAATTATTTATATTCAGGTAACTTCTGAGAGAGATTTCCTCTAAGTTCTTCTGATAATTTCCATTGAAGGCTTTCTACAACACCTTTTACCATGCTTCAGACATTACTGTTCTTACAGTTTAAGAGTTTTCTTAACTCAAATCCTTTTTCTGAAAATGGAATGGTCACTTTTATTGTGACACGTGTATGGAGAACAACTGATGACTATCCTCTTATAACTTGTTTAATGTATTGGAAGTTATATCGGTGGGCATACCCCTCTAGTACCCCTTCCCTTTTCATTCTCCTTAAACCTTGCCAACACTTTTTCTAACACAGATGTCCCACTTCTTTCAGCTTCAATTACAGAACATATTTTCTAAAACTGCTGTCATTTATATTGCTCTCCTTTTGACTTCCAAGTTGCTGGTTGCAGTTAAAAGCCAGTGAGGTATTGTTGTGGAAAGAGTCAATGCCTTGTTTTATTTTTGTTTGAAAGACTGGGATCATTAACCAGCCTTCTGTTATGCTGAGTGAACAAAAGCTACCCACAAACATTTTGCTCTCTAGATATCATTTAACATATTTAGGGAATATGTAAATACTGTACCTATTCTACTAATGTTTTACCAAGCTAAATCACATTTTGCAATGTCAGCAAGCCAATTCTTCAAAGAAGACAACACTGTATATCAGAAAAGAGGACAGCAACAAGTGTTTTACACAAACTCTTAGTAGTGATTTAGGTTTAGGAATTCAACATCAAGAAGCCTTCCCTGGGAGCTCCCCCAGGCTTGTAAGCCCTGTGCAGATCCTGAGCACAGGCAAATCGCTCTCTGACTAGCTCACTTGCACTTTGCCAAAGCAGCAAGTCTGTTTTCTCTGGTAGATGCCTGCTCAGAGGAAACAAACTGATTGTAATCAAGGATATTTCACACTGCTTTTAATTTCCAAAGGTCAGAGAAAGATGTTGTATATTAGTCAATGTGCCATATTACTTACCCACAACATGTACTTTACATGGAATATTAATATTATAGGCATCTGGTACAAACATGTATTCACCCTCATCATCAACAGCAGCACTTGCTATAACAAATCTGTGGATTCTGTAAAAAGTTGGAAAAGAAATCAATGTAAAATATTTTTGAAGACTGCTTGAAGCTATAAGGAAAATCTGTGAAAAGTTCAGGCGATCTGTGCAATTGTGTAAAATTACTGACTAAAGAGCCTTTGCTGGCTGCTTAGTGGTATTTTAGCTGATTAATAAAAAACTGTGTGATTTGTACAAAATATTATTGAGACAACCACCAAATAATGTAACCATTTCTAATATTTTTGTTTGAATACCGAAGTAGAAAAATACAGGAGTGTAATCTCTTTGACATAGGGATTCTGTGCTGCTGCCATTAGATTGTAATTTGGTTGTTCAAGAACAAATCTATAGGTAATCCCATTGTGAGAATATTCTAACTTTTGTTAGACCATCTTTGTGACAGGATTCAATCTACTGTTTGTTTGCCAGAATAAAGAAGTGGGTGAGCAAAGCATATGTTGCTCTTTCTACCTAACTGTGTCTTCCAGTACGATGATATTTTTGCTCTCCTATGACCTGCTGTGGCTAAGTTTTGTTCAAGGTAAGGACCCACCTCTGAGCCCGTCCTGCTCCCCTTTCCCTTACCTCACCCTATGGGCCTACATGGGCTGTGGGGAGCTCCCTCAGCTTATGTCAGTCCAAGGGGTCATCGCACAACTGGCACTTGTCCCTTACTGTGACTTAATGAGTGTTACGGAGTCAATGCAAACATTTTATAGCCTGTTTAGGAGCATCTTCACAAGCACAGTTCCCAGCTGTTTGAATGGTCTGCTAAGCTGAAGTGAAGGGGATGTAGTTAAAGGTAGGAGCTATTTTTGTTTTAAACTGACAAACTTTCCGTGAAGAATGATGGATTATAAATGCAAAGGGACCTGATACCTCCACATAGTTTGTGTGATCTGAGTTGACAAAAAGAGAAGCTATCAGAAAAACAGACATTTAAAAGCTATATATTTTTAAGAATGTCTAACAATTATTTTACTTTACTACTTATATCCCATACTAACAACAACAGCAATGTCAAAAAAATTAATAACTTGAACTTATATGGATCAAGGATTTGATTATTGTCCTCCACAGCCAAAAGACGCAAGGTGAAAGGGGGCAAGGAGACATGTCTTTTATGATGAAAAAAATAAATATATTTGAGGGATAAAGGTTAGGCTGGATTACCAGATAATTTTCAGTGACATAACCCACATATTGGCACACCTCTACAGTGTCATTCCATCAAAAGTCAAGTCAATACACAACAGGCTTACCTTCCTTTGTGATAAAGCTTTACACGGTCACTAGCTTCGACCAGTTGCCCATTTTTGTACCATTTCCCTTCCACGTTCTCAGATATCTCACACTTCAGGTGGATTTCCTGTCCAAGCCTCACAGTCTGGTCTTCTAGTGCAAGTGATATCTTCAGTGGTCTCACTTAGAAAAAGAGAAGCAGAGATATTAATGATAATATCAAGCAATGGCTTATGGTTCTGTCACGGAGCCGCTACTAACCATCACAATAGTCTTCAAATCAGAAAAATTACTCCAATAATGAAGTTCTCAAGTTGAAATACTAGTAATACATACCTGTAGCTACATAAATTAACCTCTCTTCATGTAGTCTGATTCCTTAGAAAGGGTGATTCAAAATACCCATACCCTGACTGGGGAAACTCCATGGATATTGCCAGTAGAACTAACCCCAGGAGCATAATTTGAATGCTGTCCCCTCTCTGGTGTTTAGGTGCTGGAGGTAGGGTGTTTCTATCCACAGGTTCCAGTAAGAAACTTTATAGAAGTGAAAGACATATGTGCCCAGACCTATGCACTCGAAGGGATTACAACCCACTATTCCTGTGATCTAACGGTGATCTAACTGCTCTCATAGCTCTCCCAGCTGATCCGAGACAATTTGGAGACTTACCAAAGTGTTTCATCACAAGTGGGGACTGTAGTTCTCAACCTGTTTTGCCAGGTTGGTAGCAAACGCTGACTGGCCAGTAAGCTTAACTTCGTAGGCTACTTGTTGTCATGTTTGCTAAACTGCCTTAACTCATCCTACAAATATCCACAGATGTTACTGGCTTTTGTAAAACTTTAGTCTGAAAATTGGTGCCCCGCTTCACTTTCATTTTCTGGAAGATTAGATGCTGTAGACCAGAGACCAGGCTGAACACACAGTACCATCTGTATGCAGTGAATGTCCCTGACTAGAATCTGACATAGGAAACAAATTGTGATGGGAAAGGCACTGTTTTATAGAAAGCCAGTTGGAAAATCCACCAGAGAAGTTGCCTGAAAGGAAAGATGACAGAGCTCAATAGCCACGGACGATAATTTCCAGCTTGATTATAGAACAGCATGAATTGGTTGTGCTTAGGATGACAATTTGTACAAAATAGTCAAAAGCAGTATAAGTATTACAAAACAGTGTATGTTTATGCATAATGTGTGATAACTTTAGAGAACGGGCACATACCTTTTGCTAAAAAACACAGGCATTTTAAAGAGATACTGCACAAACAATACTGAGGGAGCTCTGTAGTCATGTGTTTGTGCCTGTGAGTTCAGGTCAAGTGACCCTGATGCCTGTTAACAGTATGCCTGATTACAGAACTACTTGTTTTTGCAAAATACTTTTCTTCTGATTTTGGCTAAAAAGCCTTAGTTCAGCTTTCCTGTGAAAATCTGAAAGGATTAAAGAAAAGCAGATACTTCCGTGAAGATTTCACTTTGTTGACCTATTATATCTTTGGATGGATAGCTTTGTTTTCCATCTTAATGGAGTGACAGAAAATTTTCAAGCAGGACTAGTTCATTGACTGTTACTGCAAACAGCACCTAAAGGAAAGTCACCATTCTAGAGATTTGCAGCAAAGAAATTGGTATGGAAGTTAAGTCTCCCTTCAAACCCCCAGGAAAAGGCAAGCAAATTATTTACTTCTGTAAATAGCCAACCGCATCCTGGGCTGCATCAAGAGAAGTGTGGCCAGCAGGTCGAGGGAGGTAATTCCACCCCTCTACTCCACTCTGGTGAGACCCCACCTGGAGTATTGCATCCAGCTCTGGAGCCCTCAGCACAGGAAAGACATGGACCTGTTGGAGAAGGTCCAGAGGAGGGCAACAAAAATTATCCGAGGGCTGGAGCACCTCTCCTATGAAGACAGGCTGAGAGAGTTGGGGTTGTTCAGCCTGGAGAAGAGAAGGCTTTGAGGTGATCTCATTGTGACCTTCCAATACCTGAAGGGGGCCTATATGGGAGATGGGGACAGACTTTTTAGCAGGGTCTGCTGTGACAGGACAAGGGGTAATGGTTTTAAACTAAAAGAGGGTAGATTTAGACTTGACATAAGGAAAAAATTTTTTACAATGAGGGTGGTGAAGCACTGGAACAGGTTGCCCAGAGAGGTGGTGGAAGCCCCATCCCTGGAGGCATTCAAAGTCAGGCTGGATGGGGCTCTGAGCAACCTTATCTAGTTGGAGATGTCCCTGCTCACCGCAGGGGGGTTGGACTAGATGACCTCTAAAGGTCCCTTCCAGCCCAAATGATTCTATGAGTCTATGATTCTATGATTCTGTAAGCTAGTAAACTGTCACATACGAGTTCAAGAGCAAGATGGATACTTACAATCAACTGAAAGCTTAGCTTCTGATTGGCCTCCAGTTGTCATTACTGAATAAGTTGCATTGTCATTTTTTGCAGCTTCCTCTATGATCAAAGTGTGTTTTTTACCCTCAACCTTGATTCGATACCGAGATTTAGGTTCATTGGTAAGTTCTACACCATTCTTAAACCTGATGGAAAAAAAAGAATTATGATTTTTCCAATAGAAGCCCTGTGGAAATAACACTCCCATAGACCGAAACTTCCAGAGAAGACTTTGTAAGACTTAAGGCACAAGAAAAGGTTAAACAAACTCATCCATGAATGTGTAAAGATATTTTTGCTGTTGACACATTTTTGAGTAATGTTTTCTTGAGATTTTCTTAACAATTTTCAGATTTATTGGTATACAAATAGCTGTCTGTATTTTTGCCTACAATTAAAATATTCTAGGTTTTATTCTCAAGGAAAACAGTATTTCTTCAAAGTGCGGCTTACCATTTCACATTTGCATCATCCTCAGACACTTCACAGCTCAGTTCTACTCGTTCACCAACATAGGTACTGGTGTCCTCCAGGCCTTTTGTCACCAAAATTGGAGGATCTTTGGAAAGAGAAAATTACAGATGTACAATCTGAGAGAGAAAACTAAGTGAATGAGGTTTTCAAAATCATGCTATAGAAGATGATACTACTTTAAAATTCTAGTATCAGTCTCAGTGCAGCTTTTTCTGCCTTAAATCAGAAATGCAATTGCTCATTAGAGATGCTGAGTAGGAAATGTTCTAAATAAAAAAATAACATTTGTTCAGATTAATACCTGCCTTGCATCCTGTTTTTTGACAGTTTGTCCAGGCAGGTTGACAGAAGCTGACGTTTGCCTCTTCCCTCCCCCAGATCCCAGATTTCATTAGGTCCTATAGCCCTTTATGCACAATAAGATGACCTGATGACATAACACGGTGCCCTTATTGGTTTAACCCATT